CCAGTTAAGAATAATCACACAGTCATCAAGGAAACTGGAGCAGACCCAAGTAAGAAAGTGGTAAAATAACCATTGCAAGGTCTCACCTGTGATTTAGTTATGTCATGTGGGACCAATCACTTAATTACTTTGCACCTTAATTTGCTCATGTTTGCCTCATCTTCTTTATAATTTTAAGGACATCAAGTTTATTTGCCTAAAAGCCGTAATTGCCATTGCTTCTCAAGCTGTACAATCCTGCGTCAAAACCACTCACATGATGTGCTTGCTACAACTTTGTGCACGTGGTAGGTGCTCAGCTCATGCTACTTACTGTGATGATTCTGCTTCTAATGATAATTTTTCCCATGTACCTCCTTGCACAGAAAATGCATACTCTATACCTTCTTGGCTTGTTGTCCAAGACAGTGAATTACTTGTAGGCTTTTCTCACTATTCTTTGGGGTCTTGTCTCTTGTGACAGTTCCGAATCACCGTGGTGCTCACATCGAAATGGAGAAAGGTCAAGGGGAGATTAGGTTTTTTCCTGCCAGAGTAGCTGCTTATCAGGACCAAAGAACCATCAGAAGTGGAGGAGGAGATAGGCTCTTTCATTTATCTTTGCCTCTTTCCACCAAGAGAAGATTGCTGCTACTGATAGAACATTCTTAAGGGATTCCTTTTAAGCGACTTGGGCTCTGACACTTCCAATTAGATTGATATTTGTCATAACTATTTTATTGGCTCTTAGCAATCACACAGAATGAATTACTGTTATTACTCTCCACCATTACAAGAAATCAGTCCATAGAACCCATTACAAAGAAGAATGACTTGTTAAGGAGGCAAATACTTTGCAAGGAACTAGTTACCATAAAAACATCCCGGATCTAAGGAACTTGCCTGTAGCAGCAGGTACTCTTTTCTGTTGCTGCTAGATTTCATATCTCACCCAAACTTCCACTGTTAGCTGTAGGAACAATTGGCTCTCTGGAACCTCGCTGGACTAAGGCAGAGACCTTTTCTATAGGAGAGGGAAGACCTGCTCTTTTGGGTTGGCTAAACTGTGTATGAGAATAGATCTTCCTTTCCATGCAGTGACTAGTGGGATTCAATCCAAGGCTTTTCGTTTAGCAACTCTTGTGACATTAGGACTTCTTAGCTGTACTAACGTTCACTCAACTCACCTTATTGGCATCGTCTATTCTGACTCATAATGACTCTATGGAACAGAATAGAACGATGCCTGTGAGTTTCAGAGACTATAACTCTTTATAGGAGTAGAAACCTTCATCTTTCTCACAAGGAGTGACTGGTGGTTTTGAACAGCTGACCTTGTGGTTAGCAGCAAGCACAACATATAACCCACAATACTACCAAGAGGCACTTGCACTAATTCAGAAAACATAATGATCATTTAGAATAAAAATGTGTTTCTGTATTACAGAGCTCCTTAAGCTGGCATGCCTGTTTTACCACTTATCAGTTCTGTGTCTTTACACAAATAATTTAATATTTTTATGCCTCAATTTTCCATCCTTAAAAAGGGATAATCATAGTTGCAACTACACAAGATGATTTAATAAGTGAAATCATACACTTAAGTATTTAGCGTAGGCTCTGGTATGTAAATTCTCAACAGCGTTAATATTTTTATTGTCATTATTAATTTTACTATTATTGGAGATTTATTTGCATTTTCCCAGCACTATAAATCAGGCACACATATGCTGTCTATTTTCAGAGATAACACATACTGATTATGGTGGAAAATGGTCAAATTTGGAATTAACTGCCCCATGTTTTATACCAGTTTCACCACAAATTATCTCTTTGCGCTTAATCTGACCTCTTAATCTCAGGGAAGCTATGCTTTCCCTAGTGATAAATTGTGAGTAGTAAACAATGTATATCCGATTTGGGGAAAGGTTCATCTATGCTGTTTATTCAAGTTATCATGTCGTGTTTAGTATTTTATGACTTTTAAGTCAGATTTCTACTGATTGTCCCATTTTGTTTAGTCAGCTCCACTGGGAGAGTGACTGGGAATATAGTGACATTTGAATGCTCTGAAGGACTTAGAGCGAACAAAATTGAGTAACCCAAACCGTGGCACTGAACCTGAAGCCTGGATTTCCAGGTCGGAGGAATGAGGGGTTCATTAGGTGACTTTCTGGCATCTGAAGACATGAATGCCCTGATGTTTTCTCCAATAAAATAGTTGTTTGCTTTTTTTTCTTTTTATAGTGAGTTAATAGGGTTCTATTATCTGAGGAAATACACAGACCCCAATAAAAATAAAGGGGCAAAATTTTAGTCTGGAACAGATAATTGGAAAACCCATAAAACACACTAGTTTTATGGTTCATTGATATTGATTTATTATCAGCAATATGCTTTAAATTACTTCATTTTCATTTCTTTCTTAAGGCTCTACCAAAATTAAAGGCACAAGGAGTTTAGCAGTGGGTAAAGTCCCTGGAAATCATCACCCTCATGGAGGTTACATGCTTAATGGAGAGAATAATAATAATAAAAGCTATATGTAAAGTTATTGGATTCTAGCTAGCTATAGTGATTTGAACAATATTAAGCAGGGAAGGGAATGAGGCAGTGCCAGGTGTGGGCTGTCTTCATTTCAAATAGGGCGAAGGAAGCTTTCCCTGAGAAAATAAAATCTTTAACAGGGACCCGGTGGAAGGGCGCTAGGGCAAGAGCGTTTCTTGATGACGGGGCGGTAACGTGTCCGGGACATAAAACAGCACTAGCAAAATCCTGAAATGAAGCATGTCATTTTTTAGCAACAGCCAGAATTTTAGCATGGGGCCAGATCATACATAATTTTGTGGATCATTTGGGTTTTATTAGAATGAAATTGGAAATGAACAGAAGACTTTGAAAAGGAAAGTGATATAATATGATTTACTCTTTATTAGAAATACTCTTTCGAGTGTGTGAAAATAAACAAAAAGCATGGGTAGAGCCAATTGTGACTCCTTGGAAATAAAATTTGGGAGGAGTTATTTTGGCTTTGGTCAGCCGTGTAGAATTACAGATCAGAGTTTAGAAATTGGCTTATCAGCTTCACTTTGAAGTTGAGCCAACAGGATGTGCTACAGTACTTATAGTATGGGACATAGGGAAGTCAAGAAAACTTTATTCATGGTTTGAAAATAGGGTAAAATAAAGTTGACCTTACCAGAGGAAGAGGGAATTATGGATAGGATAAGATAAATTGGTGGGTAAGGAGTTTTGTATATATTACTGTTGAATAACTTAAGGTAAAAGCATTTTAAATTGTTGTATTAAGTATAAATTTGATTCAAAGTAGAGATCTTGGCTAAAATATAAATTAGGCTGTCTTAAGAATATAGATAGTATTTAAATGCAACTAGTGTAATAGAAAAAATAAAAGATGGTTGAGGTGCTAGTTTTGACATTAGAAGCAAGCTATGGGGGAGATGAAGACAGTCTGACCAATTGAAGTAGAAAAAAATTGAGAAAAGAATTCCAGAGAATTTCTTGCTCCAGAAGCCAAGAAAATAATGTGGTTTTATTGAAAATAATTATTCAGTTGGTATACTCCCAAACCTTGACTGTAGGAGTGTTGTTTGATTTACTTCATGATGCAGTAAACAGCAATTAAACATAATATCTGAGTGTGTATTATGTATTTTGAGTAGATGATGACTATAAACAAAAGCAACATGTTCACACAAAATACTTTTCCTTCTATCTCTAGTTACACACACACACACACACACACACACACACACACACGAGACATCATTGGCTATCACCTGATTGACAGCTAGACTCCACCCCTTCACTCAAGTTGACAGGAAATGCTGTAACTGCCACATTGTACATTTTTTTCCATTGTAGAGCATCTTACTCAAAATTTGTTCTTGTTTTTTAATATTTTCTGCTTTCTTTCTGATTGAGATTTTTATTTGTTTTACTTTATTATGCTTGCTAATTTGCTTTTGTTTGCTTTTTAATGTTTTTCTGCATATGAATTTTGGATAGGTAAATCTACAGAGTTTGACTTAATTAATGGTTCTTTAGGGGTATTGCAGATGAGTTTGGGGAAACGGGGAGCTACTAACAAGGACTACAAGAATGCACAAAATGTTCCATAACTGATTGTACTGATGATTGTAAAACTCCTCTTGATGTTATTGAACTATTTAATTATATAGTCTGTTAATCATATGCAAATAACACTATTAGGGCAAAAAATGTAATAGAAAAAAATGAATAAATTAGAAACCTTTTCCAGAACCAAGAAAAATTATCATCGTTTTGTGCCTTTAATGTCTTGGAACAAAGTCCAACCTGAGTAAAATTTAAAATGAATATACACTTGAATAGTATTACAGATTTGTAAATTAATTTCTTGTCTGTTAATCCATCACCCACACATCCTGTCAAGTAAGTTAGCTCTAGGCCAGAAAAGCACTACCTTATAGAGTTTCCAAGGCTGTAAATCAGCGGTTCTCAACCGGTGGGGGTTGCCCGAATTCATAACAGTAGCAAAATGACAGTGATGCAGTAGCAAGGAAACTAATGTTATGGTTGGGGGGTCACCACCACTTGAGGAGCTGTCTGCATGAGGAAGGTTGAGAACCCCTGCTGGGAAGGGTTACAAAAGCAGACCATCACTCTTGCTTTCCTGCAAGTGCCTGGTGCCTGCCAATCAACAGTATGGTCAGCAGCCTAGATTTAAAGCAATGGCATCACCAGAACACTCAGTGTTACTCCATTCTCACTGCCAGTGATTGGAGTCAGACTCCTACATGCTGATTGGACAGGGTTGACCTGCCCCTGGGGCTTCTGAGCATGTCACTCTTTAAGGGACCAGAAGGCAGAAAGCTCCTGTGGGGCAGGTTATGTTTTGAACTGCTGACCTTGAGGTTAACAGCCTTAGGAAAATGTTCATATCAAATAATTTTGATTGAGTTGTTTTTTTAAAACTTCTTTCAACGTAACACCATGTTTTAATGTTGTGTCTTTCTTAGAAATGATTCTCTGTGTTGTGAAACTACAAGATCCCTCGGTGAGAGTGGAGCCCAGTAAGCCGGAGCAGTGTCTGATCCACTGACGTGTGTGAGTACATCAGCAGAGAAAAAAAATCAGATGCATCCTGTGACTTAACAGTGCGTGAGAAGGCAGATGGCTTGCAAAGCACCCGGCTTAGTTGTTGGATACTTGGCATGCACCAAAGTCTTGCTGGTGAGAGTGGGGTTGACATGTACGGGACCTGTGACAGGCTGTCATCTCCCCTTTTAGCTCACAAGTTGCATTTTTTTACCTGGAACTCCTTGGTCCCTCATAACTGCTTTACATTCAGAAACACATCGAAAGTCCATATTCTGGTTACAGGGATATCTATTTCAACTTACTCGGCTCCTTAACACCTGCCGAACCCATTAATTACCTTCCTTATATATAGTCTGGTCCACCAGATGCACTTTGGCTTCATTTGCATCCCTGAATCTGAAGTCTATCAATTCCTCTGCTGTCTCACTATCCCTGCACTTCTCTATCCTCTATCCTATTCTATACCTACATTGCCCAAGGAACTGTTATTTGGGTAATTGTTCGATTTCTTCTTTCCTTTCTGTATCTTTTTTCATGATTAATGCTTTCATCAACCTTGCCTGCTTTGTTTTCCCCAACACATCTTGGAGGCACCCAGCTTGATCATGCTTCTCACACAAACTGGTCCACAGGGGAGCAGACGAACAAAAATCTAACTGCCATCAAGTAATTTCTGACAGTCTTATAGGTCACCATAAAACTGCTCCATACGGGTTTTTAAGGGTGTAAATCTCTAAAGAAGCAACTCTCTGATTTACCCATGGAGTGACTGGTGGGTTCAACTACCAACCTTTCCGTTATCAACCCAATGCTTAAATAACCTTGACACCAAAACTCTTGTCAGTGGACCAGGGCATCTCAAAATGTTTAAATCTCTTAGAGTGACTCACAATTGATCCTTCCCAGAACTTTTATTTTTCAGAATATCATCCAGCCAATTGCTTTGCAATGAAAAGCTGAGTCCTGTTATATGAACATCACTGAATTTAGCTCATTGTATCAGATATCTATATCCTGTTTTCAGTTTCCTAAAGTAGTCCATTGGGTTAAAATCATATCCCTTTACAGTTCTTCAATGATTTTATTACATCAATGAGCTCTCGCTTGATTTCATGACCCTGTTCCCAATTTTCTTTTAGTCTGACAAATGACACACATGCTTATTTTTTTCCATTTTCTGGGAAAAATCAATCAATGAAAATTAAAACAAAACCATGTTTCCATCATCTCATATTTCTCTTTCCCTTGCCCTTGGTCCACTTCCAAATTTAGCTTTCCTTTATCCATGCATACTTCTCCAAAGAACTATCTACACTCTGTTTATAAGAAGGATGTTCCGTAAGGGAGGGCTATTTTTCATTTTCTCATACAATATATTTTTGGTAACTAGCAGAGTATCTAAAGATGTTAGGGGTTTAGTAATAAAATGCAACTACCTTCTACGTCCCACTCTCTACCTGTATGTTAAAATTTTGCTTTAAGCATTCCTTAAATTACTCCTTATAAGTTAGCTGCCATAATATCTTTCTCTTCATTTACACAAAGCAGAGTAACTTTTTAAATACATATTATATTTTATATTATAGTGGACCCTAATTACAGTTAACTGTGCAAATGATTAATCACCCCGTCAGAATCAAGGTCTCTTGAATGTGAGATAATAAACTTGTCAATCTTTAGTCATCATAGCTCTTGGCAATAATCTTACAATTTAATAATCAGCAATGGATTGATTTAAGGTCTTTAGGCACTGATGTATCCTTTGGCATTTATTTAGCCATATTTTTAGTAGTATTATCTTTGATAAAACAAGTACCCCTAAGATAAAAATAGGGAAATATAATGGTATGGACTCTTTAAGAAATCTTTTCAACGTCATTGATGAGTAGTGAATGAGTTGTGGTTTTGAGACATATTTTTCATACGTGGGATACCCCCCCAAAAAAATAGCTCCTCTTAGTGGAACTTTCATTGTTCTCATTTTTCCCTGCTAGGTGGGCATTCAGCAACTCACTCAGAGATAGTGCACCTGTCTGGGAAGGTTGTCTCTGGTCACAGTCAATTATTTTTGTGAAAGCAGTTTTGCTCAAACCTCATCTTTTTGTGATGGCCCATTTAAGAGAACAGCGTGTGGCTGTGAAATTTTCTTTCCTGCTTGGGAAAAATGTGGTAGAAACTGCTGTGATCTTGAACACAGCTTACAAGGACAGAACTATGGGACAAATGCAAGTGTCTGAGTGATTTTCTCATTTCAAAAACGGTGAGATGTTGATTGATGACCAGTCCCTCATTCCCGACGTCTGTCAACTTCCTGAATGGATGACATTGTTGACTGGTAGTATAAGTGGAGTTTGTTCCACCTGGTCAGACTGTTAATGAAGCTTTCTATGTAGAGGTTTTGAAAATATTATGTTAACAGTGAGAGACAAAAAAGGGCTGATTTCTGGCAGACGGGGGACTGGTTTTGCCACCATGACAACGCATCTGCTCACTCAGCCATCTCAGTGTGCCAGATTTGGGCTGTGGTAGTTACATAATCTGTTGTCAATTTTGGACTTAAGAGTAAAGGGGTGGAGTTTAGCCTATTCATCAGGACGCATCTTGATGACCTTATTTGGAGGTGCTAAGGAGATAGAAAGCTCACTGAAGGAAGTACACAAGCTCACTCCTGTGAGACATTACTGAGCCTGATGGAACTACAGTGATGCAGCCAGAGCCTTGGGAGCTGGAGGATCTACATGCAGACACCTACCAGTGCTGAGATGCTTCTACCATCACTGGATCCACAAGAATTTCTACCCACTGGCCTGTGATCTTCCTGCATTCAGCATTATCAGATGGCTGTGTGAGCCTGAAGAGGAATTTATCGACTAGTGTTGGACATATCAGCTAATATTGGACTTATGGACTTTATCCGGATTAGGTGGGGGTGTTTTCTCAATATTCAGATGCTCTTGAATATAAAGCTCTTTCTTATACATATCAGTGCCCATGAATTTGTTTCTCTAGTCATGCTGGACTAACACATTAGCAAAAACAGCATGCCTCTCTTGCCCCACTCACCTGACCTCTCTCCATGCTACTTATTTTTGTTTCCACAAATGCAGAGGGACATGAAAGGACAGCAATTTCAGGTCATTCATAGAAGAAGCGAAGAAATAAACAAGGGAGGTGCTGTCAGCCACCCAAACAGATGAGTTTGAAAAATGTTTCCAAGAATGGGATCGCAGATCTGACAAATGAATTAAGTATAATGGAGAGTACTTTGAAGGTGATAAGGTTGCTTTGTAAAACAATTTAAAGACAGACCCTCATATATATGGCATCCCCACAGGAGCCCTGGTGGCTTAATAATTACAGTTTGGACAGCTAACTGTGAGGTCTGCAGCCCATAACCATCGTTCATGCTGTAAGAGAAGGCCCTTCTCGGCCCGTAAAGAGGGGAGGTTGGGAGGATGTTAGGAACTAAATGAGTATAAGAAAGAAGAACATGTTCCAAAAATAATGGTGAAAATGATTGTGCAGCTCTTCTCTGTGTGATTAAATTATTTAATTGTATGATGTATGGATTATATGCCAATAAACTGTTAAAATGAAGAAAGAAAGAAAGAAAGAAAGAAAAGAAGAGAATTATAGTCTCAGAAACCCACTAGGGCAAGCCTATCCTGCCTTACAGGGTCACTATATATTGGGATCAACTCGATAGCAGGGATTTGAGTTGAGGAATTCCTAGGGTGGCTATGAGCCAGGATCTTCTTCATGGCAGGTTCTATGCTTGTGTCTTTATGGTACTTTTAAAACTAAAGTTGTGATCAACAGTGTTTCTAGGGAACTATACTTAGCCAGTTAAATTCAAGGAGGACAAGTCAGCTCAGAAGGTTATGGTTGACTATTTTTGGGTAGTTCCTAGGGTTAATCCCAGTAGATTCTTTTCAAAGGACACAAGAGGGTCACAAGATGTTATTCTTTAAAATTAAGAAGGAAAAATGGAAACTGCAATGTTGAGAAAAAGCCCAGGAAATGTACACCAATGTCTTCTGGCCCCCTCTCCCTCCCCATCGTGACAATATACCAACTCTTTCTTTGAGTGTAGCTTGAATTCATCCACTCTAGAGTCCTGGGCTTTCCCACAGACCCCTTTTTGTTCCCCAAACTCTAAGAACATTTAAAAAGAACACTATCTGAGTCTCTGAAGGATTCCCATCCTTCCATTTTGACGTTATAAATGGAATAATATAGGATTCTTTGGGGAAGAATTGGAGAATGGAAAAACCACCTTCAGAAATGAATAGGCCTAGATGGAGGATAGGTTTATGGAAGATTTATCTGGTTTTGTAGAAACATTATTGACTTATCCCATGTCATGTACACATATGTGAACACACACTCCTTTTTATCTAGGCTATTTAATGCATTCTGATCAGAATTCAATGTGATACATCCCTGAAGTATTATTCTTTTGCGGCTCTTAAATAAAAATATTATATCGATGTGTGTGACTTTAGACAAATACCACATAAATAAATCAAATAGAGTATAACTTCATGAAAATTAGAATTCTCACACAAAACAACAGCAACACACACAAATCTGACTGAACATTCTGAGAAATGAAAGATCACAGATTATATTATTTCCAAGAAAACAAAATCCCTTTCAGATCCTTTAAGTATAGACAACAGCTAAGAAGGTAGAGTATTCACTGTTTAAAGAACCTCAACAAACCCATTGGAATCATTCCACACTCCTCTTCCTTCTTTCCCCAGTTTGTCCATTCATAGAAATAGGTTCTCAATTTTGCACCATGTGATTCACTTTGTCCTGGAACCCAATGGACCAACAGCCTTGGTTGAGTATAGCTGCCCGGGTTTGATATTCTTAAACACCTTTGAAACGCTATTTTCTGTAAATTATGAAAGATTTTCTGCACAAAAGTCCAAGGATTAGAGTTTCCTTATGTTGCTCAGGCCTTTGGGAGATCTTGTAATCTGTGGAACAGGATCAAG